TATGTAGCCTCTTTGACAGACTGAGCATCACATTAATACGAGGGCTGCAAACATACTCAAAGCATGGGAGACTGCTCATTATCAAAGGCGAACCAGGGCCGAACCTCTTGTTGAGGCAAAGAGGCAATGGCCTCAGGCCCCAAAATTTTAGTAAAAAAAATGGGCCCATAAATAATTGTATACTAGTATTATATATACACATTTTTTGTATTTCATATTAAAATAACAAGAATACAAATATTATCAATCAAATCAAAATAATAAGGAGTATCATGCAGTATGTGGGTTTTAATTTTTTGATGTAGGCATATAAATTAAATTACCGCTTATGAATCTTAATATCCAAATTTTACATTACTCAAGGGTCTTTTACAAAAAATCGACTCGGGCCAAAAAAATCTTAGGATCGGCCCTGGGGCGAACACCGGATAGAAATGAGAGAACTAACGATGCAAAATGGATACCGCCGCCAATTTCGAGGGTCAAATGCAACGTTAATGGTGCTTTAATAGCAGGTGGTCGATTTGTGGGGTCAGGTCTTTGCTTGCGTGACCATATGGGTAAATTTCTTGGTGCAAGAACATCTTGGCTTCGAGCTAGAATGAGTCCTAGTGAGGCGGAAGTGTGGAGTTTGCTACAAGCTCTATTGTGGATGGAAGAAATGGGCCATACAAAGGTTGAGTTTGAGATGGACTGTAAACAAGTTGTTGATGATCTTAGACTGGATAAAAGATATCCGTCCGAGTATGGCGCCTTGATACAAGAATGCAAAACAATGTTACAAAATCGGAATGAATATTTTGTCAATTTTACCAAACGGCAAGCCAATGGTAGTGCACATGCTCTTGCTAAGGCATCTACCTGTTATGCTTCCCGTCAAGACTTTTTTCATCCTTCGGATTGTATTCAACATCTTATTAGTAATGAAATGAATTAATCTTCTTCTGTCAAAAAAACTTCTTTCCCAATTCAACTATTTTCATGTATTGGATACGCGCACTGATTAGGGAAAATCCTAAGATTGGAGCTTTAATTAGTGTGATTCAATCCAATTGCTTCATCCACTTGGTTGTTAATGCCAGCTATTAATCAATTATCATCCATGTGGCCATGTGATATCACTAATTGGGACAAATTTATCCAAGTAACATAATTTTCATGTGTGAGAGCTTTCCAATGGGACAAATTGCAATATACAGACTATATCCCGTCCACCGTATTTATTCTATTCAAGACTTGAGGGATCTGTGTCTTCATTTTTTATGGGAAAAAGAGGGATAAATTTTATGTCGATTGCTACAGTATCCAATTTAATGTTTCACCATTTATTTATGCTAAAATTATACAACTACAATATTTTAATTTATTCATGTGAATAAGGTATGATACTTTGACGGTCAAAACCTTGGACAAAGTCGAGTGATCTAACATCATAAGTTAGCGTAACATTTGTTCTATTCGTAATAAATGCCAATACCTATAAATATTTAAAACCCATAAAAAAAGAATGAGTTTTTTCCACTTTTAGTCCTCCGACATTATGTTATTGACATTTTTGGTACTCGACTTTGATTTTTTTTCATTTTTAGTCCTTGACTATTACGCTAGAGACACTTTTGGTCCTTCAACTATTATAATAGTGACTTTTTTAGTCCTCCACATATTGTGTCAAAATCATAATGGGAGGACTAAAAGTGTCAATTTGACAATACTCAGGGACTAAATGTGGGAAACCTTGAAGTCGGGGACTAAAAGTGTCTCTAGCACAATAGTCAAGGACAAAAAATGGAACAATTAGAAGTCGAGTACCAAAAGTGTCGTTGACATAATAGTCGAGGGACCAAAAATGGCAAAAACTCAAAAAAGAATTGATAATCTAAAAATGGGCGCTTTGTTTGTATTACCTAAACTGTTGTCATGATTGAAACACTGTAACACTGCTGGAGTGCTGGGTAATCGTATCGAACGGTTCAGGGGTCCACGGGTAAGAGGTACGGGGCAGGTCTGGGTTTTGTACTACCTGCCCCGCCCCGACCCATTGTCATGCCTAATCGAAGCGGGGGTTGTATATATAGGAGCAAGAAAGATGTTGAAGCAATTCTCAAATGACAAAGATGCGTATTAATTTTAGGAGGTACACAAACAATAATTGGGACCTCTTTCCTCATTTGAAAGGTGCTATTTATTTATAAGCAAAATACTCCGTATAAGGTATGGGCTAAAGGCCCAAAAATGTCGAGGTGCGTGACTAGAATGCCCAAGCAGTGGTTAAACGTAGAAACTGTAAACGAGCCGTGGCAGATCAGGATCCCCGGGCCTCAACCGCTCGGCTCACTGAATAAGTGCGTTGGGCCTCGGTTGTGAAACTTCTATCAAAACAATAATACAAAAATCTTACTCTCTTCATCTCATATAAATTTTCTTGTCGATTACTCGATTTCCCTTTTAATAATTAATTTATGTTTCTTATTATTTTCTCTCTTTTATATAAATTTTAATTATACAAATTTTAATGTACTCAGTATTATTTTTCGTGTATTATTTTTCGTGTGAGTTAAACTTGTAGTACGTATGAAATACGTTAAAATCTGCCGATGTGGTTAGATGATTAACTTACATAAAGTAATACAAATCTCAAAGTCGGCCTTCCAATCTAATATTTAAAAGAAAATACAACTATACATGATATGATCAAGGTTGCAGGATAAGATAAAGAATATAATGAGAAGTTTCAGCGTTTCAATTTTCAATTCTTAAGATTTAAGATAAGATCGTATTCAATGAAGTTATCATACCAATAACTTAAACTGAATAAAAAAATTAGTGATAGTGAAATGGATGAGTAATACAAGAATGAGAACTATTCAAAAATAAGAACCATTTAGGATGTTCGGGAGTTAGGATTTTGGAGGGGGGAAAGATTCATGGAGGTATGACCATCATTTTTCATGTTTGGGAGTTCAAAAAATTCTTGTCACAAAAAAAATGGAGTGGATGATTTTGGTGGACTCTGTAGCCCTCGAAAGCTTTCTAAATGCTCAATTTTTAAGTTCTTCTAATTTGGAGGGTTTTGAAAGGTAATGAACGAAATAATAATTTAACGCGATTTAAAACAAATGTCGATTCAATTATTTGAATTCATCATATCTCAAAGTGATTTTAACTATAATTTATTCAAAAACTCCCTTTCTCAAATTAGGGTAAATATTATCAAGATTATCAAGGTTAGAGGTAGATACATTTGAAAAGGAATGGCGCACGGATGCACATGATTATCCTATTTAATCATATTATTAAGACTAGCGATTACTCGCGCAAGGCACGAGAGTGGTTGCCCAATATTAAAATAATATTGTTTTTTTATAAAAAAAAGTGTTATATGCAAAATTGTTATGAGAGATTTGTAAATAGTTAATGAAATTTTACATATCGTATACTATGTATATTTTAAAAATTGTCGGAATAATTATATTCCATGTCACTCAATTATTGTATGGAAAATATGTGATTATGTGGTTCATCCTTAATCAATATTCTAGAAATACATTAAGAATGTCGATGTAAATATCATCTAAATGCATATAGTTTTGAACAAACCAGTTTTATGAGCAATAAATATTTCGCATTCTTGACAAGGTTGCAATCATATGTGTTTCAAGTAAAAAAAGATTATATTTAAGTCGCATATTTAGTTATGTAGTATTGACCTTTGATGGAAAATTTGTGTATGTTAGTTCACATGTGAAACATTTCTTATTTTTTTTTTACATATAATCCGTAATTGTAACAATATATTTTTTCCAAAAATTAAAACTTATAAAGTTTACTATAAACTATAAAGTAAATGAGAAGTATATCATCATTACTTATACTCCATATTATACAATAACAAGTCAAAGGAGCTAAGTTGAGTTAACAGAAAAGAATATTAGAAGAAATCAAATAAAATAAAGATGGTGGAATCTGGAATGGCAAGAGGCACATGGGGTTGGCCGTAGAATTGGGAGCTAATTATAGCTTGGCTATCGATCGGCTTTCTACTTGATGAAGCAGATGTGCGGGGCTGAAGTTTGGTTAACATGAGTTAAAAACTTACGGCCGTAAGGGTAAAGCAGTCAAAGGAAAAAATAGAGTTCTACATCCTAATAACAATGTACAACATCTTGTGCATTAAGTGTGTTGACATACTTCAGGGGTACCAACTCCCGTTCATAATTATATTGTTGTTAGACAAGTGATTTCGAAATATTTAAATTTATTATTCGATGTGGTTTTGCTCATGAATAATTATAACTTTGATGCACCTTTTAAATTGCGGGAGCTTATGCATCTAATTTATACGGAGCATATCTGCATATCTCAAGAGGTTACATATGCTCATGGATATTATATATGCTCATTTTGTACTGATGTTAGATTTATTTTTAAAATATCATATCAATGCGTATTTTAAAATTATCATATTACACTAGATTTACATATTAAAATTAATTAGAATTGACTATAGACATAATTTAAGAAATATTTATAAAAGAAAAAATATTAAAAAAAGCGAATTAGAAGATATGAAACATTGTTATACACAATACTCAAAGGATTAAGTTTGATGCTCACCAAAACTACAATATTGTTTATTCAAGTGAAGCCGCACTTTTCACCAAAAACTACGAAATTGCCACACTTTTCACCAAAAACTACGAAATTGCCACAGGATGTTGTTGGTACGGTGCAAAAGGTACAACTGGTTGTCACTATATTATTTGAATTAAATTTCAGTGTCAAATGGAGTCAATTTAACTATATACTTCTACTACATCACTACGTACTTCGTATTACTTTTGTTTCTTTAAATTTTGATAACTTTCTTTTTCTGATTGCCCATTTCCCCCAACCTCTATCTCTATACAAACTTCAAAGTAACAACTAACAAGTTGTACTCCGTATTTCTTATTTTACATGCTCAAATTAGGTAAAACTATAAGAGATGAAAAGGGAAAAAGTAGTAGAAAGTACAAGGTTTTACCAATAATGAGTAGTTAAAGTGATTAGTTAACATGCAAAAGTAGAAACTGAACTAGTAATCATGAGTTAATCTCGTTACGTTAAAATAAAATAAAACAGAGAAACTACAGAGGTATATGGAGAAATTAGAAACAAGCATTGAAATGCTTTGATGAAATGTACGAAGGAGTATTTCTCGATATTCCAAATTGCTCTTCAAACTGTTTTTTTTTTTGAGAAGGTGGAGAGACCAAATCATATAATTCAAACAAGACGAATGTGGTGATTAACACCGTTTTGGAGATAAAAGATGATCATTGATGAGCCTTTGAAAATTGAGACAAGATGAGCCATTGGGGGTACTTATAGCATCTTCAGCCAACCTCTTCCATTCCATGGCTTTCTTCTTCATCTCCTTCCCCTTCTCCCCTTCCATTAACTCCCTCACAAGCCTTTCCACTGCCCCCTTCTCCACATTTCCATCAATCTCCATCCCAACCCCCAACTTGGTACATGAAAACCAACAGTTCGTCGGCTGCTCCGCGAAAAACGGCCAGCACAACATCGGCACGCCGCTATATATGCTCTCGAGAGTTGAATTCCACCCGCAGTGAGTCAAGAACCCTCCGATCGCCGGATGGTTCAGGACTTTCTCCTGCGGGCACCAGCTCGAGATCATTCCCCTGTCTTTCGTCTCTTCCAGGATCTCCGGGGGCAGAATCGCCGCTTCCCCGACGACAATATCGGGTCGTAGGATCCACAAGAATGGTTTTTTAGAGTTGGTCAGCCCCCACGCGAACTCGACTAGCTGGTCGGGCGACATCACCGTTATGCTGCCGAAGTTCACGTAGACGACGGAGTTCGGCTGGTTCTTGTCGAGCCAGCCGAGACAAGCGTCGTCGTCTTTCCAGAGGCTGGATGAGATTGATTTTACGGTTTTGTCCTCGATTTCTCTCTGAAGGAGCTGTAAGGGGCCGACGGCGAACACGGGCGGCGGCAACATTGAGTGAAGGGCGGACAGAGCTTCTTCCTCTAATTTATTGAATGTGTTGAGGATTATGGCAGAGGCCTGTTTGGCTCGCCCTGTTTCTTGTATCACGTATTTGAGCATAAATTCGTCCGGATTTGTGGTTCTTAAGAAGCTTGGAAGATCTCTCAAACGTATGTCCTTCATGCCTTTTACCCAATCCAACTCTGTTTCCAAGTACCCATTTGTGAAGTAACTCTCATCTGTATGAAAAACAAAGACAAAGTGAGTGGTACCCTTTTGTTGGTCCAAATCATTCATGTTGGTCCAAATCATCATCTTATCATTTATTATTATTTAAATTCTATCCGTACCCTATTTAAGTTCACAGTTTGACTTCATATATATTAAGAAAATAAATTTGACTTTATTGTATTTTGCGTTGTTTGGACACTGTTTTGCACTGTTTTGGTGTAGATTTATTTGCCAAAAAGGAAAGTGTGATCTTGTGTGAGACATCCGAAAAAGGAAAGCGAAAACTTAAATAGGGTACGGAGGGAGTAATATCTTGGAGGTAGTGTAAACTTTACTTTAAATAAAATTGAATAGTAAAAGACAAATTTTATTTCATCAGACGAAGGCCTAGGTTTATATTGTACTTCGAGGCCGTTTGGCAACTCTCATTTTTGGCTTATCAGGCTTATCAGTCAACTTTTTCACCAAGCAGGCAACTTTTCTTTTCGCGTGCTAAATTTTGTAATAAGCAGAAAAAGTAAGGTTAGAGTTAATTTTCTGGCTGCATTGGCTGAAGTTACTGTAGAGGATCATTTTAGCTATTTTTACATATAATTTTTTCTTTATTTTATTAATAAAATATAATTTAATTTTTTCCCCTTAAATCAACAGAATCAGCCAATGCAGCCACTTCAGTCAGAACTTCATAAATTCCAGCAGAATCAGCCAGATCAGCTGATTTTGGTGTTATCAAACGGGTTCTTCATAATATTTAAAATGTACTCCCTCCGTCCCTAATAAAACTTCCAAATAGGTTAGACACACAGTTTAAGATAATGGGTATTGTGTGGTGGATAGTTGTATAAAAGTGAATATTATTTTGCACTCCCTAATATTTAAAATGTATCCAAAAGTTTTCACTTGTACGATGCTATGCTTCACACGATAACTTTTTATTTATCATTCACACCATAACTTTTAGAATTAATTAGTAAATACGTAGTACATACTGTTATACTAAACAAAATAGCTACGTAATATTATCAACATTTTAAAAAATCTTTTCAAAAAACTTTTGAGACCAAAAAACTATTACCTCTATCTCTTTTAGTTGAAAATTTTGACTTTTCTAATCAACGATCTAAACTTTGGTTAGTCATTTAGTTTATACACTTTTGTAAAAATTTTAAAAATTGCACTTTTATGATAGTTATTTTAACAAAAGACATTTCATATCATTTTCATACTATAAAATATTTTCTTATATAAACATATTATTGTGTTTGTTGATTCTGCTGGAATTTATAAAGTTCTGGTAGAAGTGGTAAGATTGACTGATTCTGTTATTTTTTTTGAAAATTATATTTAAATATAATTTAGTAATAAAATAAAGAAAGAATAATACGAAAAACAACTAATATGATAATCAAAATTTACGTGTTCGGTGAAAAGTTGACCGATAAGTCTGATAAGTCGAAAAACATGATGAAAGAATAAAAAAAGGGTTGGAGTAATAATTAATAAAAAAAATGACAAGAATAACTTTAGTTCTGTCAAACATACCTAAATTGTGTAAACATATAGGATTTGTTTATTTCTAATAAAAGAATAAAAACAGATAAATATTCATTTAATTTGGCTATGCGACCTGTTTATAGAGTAAAACTACGGCGATGTGGAAATGTGTTTGGTCTTATTTAACAACTCCGTAATTTCAAAACCATTACGTACACGTAAATGTGCAGAAGAAGATGACAAAGTTTAGTTGGTTGACTTTTTCAGTTTTGGTTGTAGGCTCCATTTTTATGCTAAGGAAGTTCTGAATTATTTTCATACATACATTTGAAAAAAAATATTTCAAACATGACTCAAAACAACTTCGATTGTAATTCATTCAATCAAAAAATTAATTCATATTTCATTGGGTTTATATTAATTTCCCAAGACTGCAAGCATCTGTTAGAGGTATTGGCCCTATGGGCTTTGGCCTTTTATTCCAATTACCCGAGACTTGGGCCTGATGCCATTTGGATACCACCCAGCCCACCTGTTCCTTTCTTGGCCCGTTTCCTTTTGAGCCTCGGCCCTTACCCTACTTACCTTCTTGGGTTTGTCTGACCCGGCTACTTATTCCCTTGTTCTGCCTTTGCCTCTTGAGCGAGCCGCATATGTGTAACCCTAGTTCTAGAGCCTTCGGTTTAGAGAGAGAGGGTCTGGCTTCTCTCTAGCCTTTCTCCTTCTTCCGCACCTCTCTTCATCACCTTTGTGTGTGTGTGTGCTTTGTGGGTTCTAGGGAGGGGTTTGAGAGGGTAGCTGGGTTTGGGTCTGGGTTTCTGGTGCCTTTGGTGGTCTGTTCCCGGTCCGGTAGGTCCTGTGTGGTGGTTGTGAGTTGTATAAGAACCCTTGGGTTCGTGTGGCTGGAGACCTGAGCTGGAAGATCGAAAAGCCTTACAGTGGTATCAGAGCTTGGTCCTCGCTGTGTCTCACCGGAAAACTCACCAACAACCCAGCGGCTACTCACCTCCGACGACATAGGCTCCTCCTCATCGTGAATGGTAAGTCGGATAATCCCCCTGGATATCCGCTCAGGTAAATTGGCTTGAAAACACCCTAGGTGCTCCGGGTGCCTCCGGATTCCTTTCTGTCTGTGGATTGTTGTTGGTTCTGTGGAAGTGTAATCTTGGGTAGTTTGTTCTTTCTGAGTGTTGTGTGGTCTGTCTGTGGGTAACTTGAGTGGTCAATCCTGATTGGTAAAGGCACGTGGTGTTAGGGCTAGGGGATACCCTGTCAGCCACTTGAGTGGCCTCGGAACTGCGTGGTCCTCTAGTCCGCTGCCTGACCCTTTCTAGGGTTTTCACTTGGCTTATCTGTGTGACTTGTGTCTCTTTTGGTTTCTAAGTTGTTTGCCATGGCTGCTAATCAATATGGAATGTTGCCCTTTAATGGGAAAACTGATTTTGATATCTGGAAACAAAAAATTAAATGTGTTTTAATTCAACAAAAGGTTTTCAGAGCTGTCACTTGCAAGTTTTTAGAAACTGAAAATGAAGCTAAACAACTTGAAATGAATGAAACTGCCTGTTCCACTATTTACCTAAATCTTTCTGACTCTGTGTTAAGGAAAGTGGGTATAATTGAATCTGCCAAAGCTTTATGGGAAAAGCTTGACAGTACTTACACTGATACCTCCTTACCTGGCAAACTATTTTTACTTGAAAAGTTTTTCCGGTTCAGGCTTGATCTCACTAAGGATATAGATGAAAATTTGGATATTTTTAACAAACTTATTCAAAATATCAAACAGGCTGGTGACAAGCATATTGATGAATATACCCCAATCATTTTGCTTAATGCCATCCCTGATTCCTATAGTGATGTTAAATCTGCCATTAAATATGGCAGAGATGATATCACTTTGGATGTTGTGGTAAATGGTTTAAGAAGTAAAGAACTTGATTTGAAACAGAATAAGGGGCATGGCAATCAGTCTAGGGATTCTGGTGAGGCCTTGTATGTGAGGGGTAGATCTAAGAGTAGGTCTAAGAACCCCAAGAAGGAAAATCATGATAGAAATAGTCAGAAGCCTGGTAAGAAGAGGGGTAAGTCTAAGAAGAGGTTTTGTTACAATTGTGGTAATCCTGACCATTTCATTAAGGACTGTCCCACCCCTAAGAAATCTGACCAAGCCAACTCTGTGGTCTCTCATGATGTGCATGATGATGTGTTTATGGTCTATGATTTTGCAAACACCGTGTTGAGTAGTTTAACTGAAAATGAATGGCTTATTGACTCTGGTTGTACCTATCATATGACCCCTTTTAAATCCCTGTTTTCTTCATATGATCTGTGTGATGATGGCTATGTGTCTTTAGCTGATAGTAAGAAATGCAAGGTGCATGGGGTGGGGAATATATGCTTGAGGTTTGATAATGGGACTGTGTACACTGTGAAAAATGTGAGGCATGTTCCAGATCTTTGTCATAACTTGTTTTCAGTTGCTGCTTTTGAGGATAGTGGGTTAGAGGGAAAATGGGGTAGTGGCTGCATGAAGGTTTTGAAAAACTCCTTGGTTATGTTTAAAGCTTTGAAAGTGAATAATCTGTATGTATGCCATGCTTTACCCTTCTCTGAATCTGCCAATGCTGTTTGTCCTGATAACTCTGTGTTGTGGCATAATAGGTTAGGTCACATGAGTAATAAGGGTCTAGAAATCATGCATAAATCTGGTTACTTTGGTAAAGATTGTGTTTCTTCTGTGCCCTTCTGTGAAGCATGTGTGCTTGGTAAGCAGCATAGGGTCAGTTTCCCTACTTCTACCTATCCAAATCTGTCTAAGTGTACATCTGCATTAGAATATGTTCATGCTGATGTTTGGGGTCCTGCTAGTGTCTCTACCCATGGTGGTAAGAGATATTTTCTATCTATCATAGATGATTTCTCTAGGAGAGTTTGGGTGTGTCTCTTAGAACATAAATCTGATGTTTTTGAGAAATTTAAGGAGTGGAAAGCCTTAGTTGAAACCCAGTCTGGTCTTAAGGTTAAAGCCCTTAGAACTGACAATGGCCTAGAGTTTTGTAATAGAGAGATGGACAAATTGTGTGCTGACTGGGGAATAAAAAGGCATAAAACTGTGCCCTATACTCCCCAGCAAAATGGTATTGCTGAGCGTATGAACAGAACTTTGCTTGATAAAGTAAGAAGTCTTCTTGCTACCTCTGGACTGTCTAAGAAATTCTGGGGTGAAGCAGTTAACACTGCTGCCTATTTAATCAATAGGTCCCCTTCTGTTCCTTTAGGAGGAAAGTGCCCTGAAACTGTGTACTCTGGTAAACCCCTAGACATATCCAACCTTAGAGTGTTTGGTTGTGCTGCCTATGTCCACCAACAGCTTGATAAGCTGGATCCTAGATCTAAGAAATGTGTTTTCTTAGGGTATCCTGAGGGGGTTAAAGGTTATAGGCTGTGGGATAGAAACCAAGTGGGTTTTAAGGTGATAATCAGTAGGGATGTCATTTTTAATGAATCTGAGTTTCCGTGTCTGAGTGTTCCTACCTCTAGTCCTGTTTCTGAGGGAGTTCAGTCTGAGGTGGAGTCTGTTCCTGCTGCTACCATTCCTTTGTTTGATAGTATTAATGATTCTGATACTAGTGTGCATGATACCACCTCTTCTAGTGGGGTGGAGTTCTCTCATGATTCTGAAATGCATGATACTGAACAACATGAAACTTCTATGGAGCATGATATACCTGATTTGCATGATTATCAGCTTGCCAGAGATAGAAGTAGGAGAACTGTTAAGAAAGTCTCTGATTCTATGTCTGATTATGCCTTTCATGTGCATGATACCTCCCTGTTTGCTTACTCTGTGTTTGAGACCTTGGAGTTGAATGAACCTAAGACCTATAAGGAAGCCCTTAGTTCTAAGGAGTCTCATAAGTGGGTGGAAGCCATGAATAGTGAGATGGAGTCTCTTAGAGTTAACAAAACCTGGACTTTAGTTCCTAGACCCCCTAACTGCTCTGTAGTTGAATGCAAGTGGTTGTTTAAGGTCAAGGAAGAACCTAAGGGTGTTAGGTTTAAGGCTAGGTTGGTGGCTAAAGGGTTTACTCAAAAAGAGGGGGTAGATTATGCTGAGATATTTGCTCCTGTGGTTAAATTCACTACTGTTAGAATCATGCTTGCTCTTGTTGCTCACTTTAATTGGGAAATGAAACAGATGGATGTGACCACTGCTTTCTTGCATGGTGATCTTGACAAAAAGATCTATATGACCCAACCAGAAGGGTTTGTGGATCCCAATAAGAGTGATTTTGTTTGTTTGCTAAGGAAGGCCTTATATGGTCTGAAGCAGTCTCCTAGGCAATGGAATATTAGGTTTGATCAATGCATGAAATCTTTGAAATTTGTTAAGTCTACGTGTGATCATTGCTTGTATTATAAGGATACCTCCTCTGTGCCAGTATTCTTATTGCTTTATGTGGATGATATGTTGATTATCAGCCCTAATCTGGATTCCATTATTCATGTGCAAAATTGTCTTTGTGAAAATTTTTCCATGAAAGACCTAGGGGATGCCAAAAGGATCCTAGGCATTAACATCATTAGAGATAGGAGCAAATTTACTCTTTTGTTAAACCAAATTTCTTATGTTGAAAAGGTTTTGAGTAAATTTAATATGCAATCTGCATCTCCTGTGAATGTGCCCTTAGCTTCTCATTTTGTGTTAAGTAAGGATCAGTCCCCAAAGACTGATTCTGAAATTGGTAAGATGAAATCTGTTCCATACTCCAGTGCAATAGGGTCGGTTATGTACCTAATGGTAAGCACCAGACCTGACATTGCATATGCTGTGAGTTGCTTAAGCAGGTTTATGTCTAATCCTGGTATGCCTCATTGGAATGCTTTGAAATGGTTGTTGAGATACCTGAAATCTACTGTGAATCATGGATTGTTATTTTCTAAGTGTTCTGATGGTACTGTGTTGCGTGGATATGTGGATTCTAACTATGCTAATGATAGGGATAATAGGAAGTCTACCACTTCCTATGTTTTTACTCTATGTGGGTCCTGTATCAGTTGGAAATCCCAATTGCAACCCATAGTTGCTTTGTCCACTACTGAGTCTGAATATGTTGCTGCCACTGAGGCCTTCAAGGAAGCCATCTGGCTTAAAAGGCTTGTCAGTGATCTAGGTTTTCTTAAGCAGGGAATTACTGTTTATTCAGATAGTCAGTCGGCCATTCAGCTTTGCAAGAATCCTGTATTCCATGACAGGACTAAACACATTGATGTCAGGTTCCATTTCATTCGAGAGATTGTGGAGGCTGGAGATATCATGTTGGAGAAAATCCCATCAGAGTTCAACCTTGCGGATATGGGGACCAAGTGCCTGTCTGTTGAGAAATTACTTTCTTGTAAACGAACTCTTAATCTGGACTGTGGATAGATGTTGTTTGTTTTTTGCAGGTACTGGCCCTTGAGGTGTGGACCACACTTCTGGGCTTTGCTCTGAGGACATTGTGTTCTCTGAGCATTCGGTCTGTCCCTTTGATCCTTCTGGGTCAGGAAAGTGTGCATTACACTTTCCAATTTTTTTGTTTCTGGATCCTGGGGGATCCAGGGAGTGTCTTTGAGATATCTCCAATTGTTGGCCTTTGATATCTTTGGATATCTTAGGCAACCAGCGATGATGAGTCTTTCCCACGCCACATTTTTGCTCTACACCACATAGGACCAATAAGGTGGAGAATGTTAGAGGTATTGGCCCTATGGGCTTTGGCCTTTTATTCCAATTACCCGAGACTTGGGCCTGATGCCATTTGGATACCACCCAGCCCACCTGTTCCTTTCTTGGCCCGTTTCCTTTTGAGCCTCGGCCCTTACCCTACTTACCTTCTTGGGTTTGTCTGACCCGGCTACTTATTCCCTTGTTCTGCCTTTGCCTCTTGAGCGAGCCGCATATGTGTAACCCTAGTTCTAGAGCCTTCGGTTTAGAGAGAGAGGGTCTGGCTTCTCTCTAGCCTTTCTCCTTCTTCCGCACCTCTCTTCATCACCTTTGTGTGTGTGTGTGCTCTGTGGGTTCTAGGGAGGGGTTTGAGAGGGTAGCTGGGTTTGGGTCTGGGTTTCTGGTGCCTTTGGTGGTCTGTTCCCGGTCCGGTAGGTCCTGTGTGGTGGTTGTGAGTTGTATAAGAACCCTTGGGTTCGTGTGGCTGGAGACCTGAGCTGGAAGATCGAAAAGCCTTACAGCATCAATACAGTTAACTTTTTAATTGATTATTGGTAAAAATTAATAAAAAGTCACGTTTATTTAAAGTTAACTTTAATTATAATTAGATATCGAAACATTTTTATAATATAATTTGCTGATACATTATTATGAAGTCGAAGACCCTCCGAATTTATTCATTGGCTTTCAGAGTTGTAAATTATTAATATAGGCCGGTGTGAAAATTTGTAGGGTATACGAATTTATTCACTCGCATATAGAAAATTTGTAGGGAAAAATTTACACCGGTGTGAAAAAGTACGAAATGCGGAGTAGTAGGGTAGCAAATTAGTGCTTGACAGCTCGAGGCTAGATGAAAGCATTGATTTTACACAACTACTTTGGCTTGTCTTAAATTTAGAAGATCATCATGTCAAAAACAACTTAGCTTAATGGGATATTATGATTGATTCAAATCATTATATTATTTTTAATTTAGAATAAATGTATCGTATTTTAGGGGTATCATAGAATGTACCTTCAAAAAATTACATAGATTATGTACTCGACTACTACTCTGTATATTTTTTACAAATTACGAAGTATTTTTTCAAAAAAGATATTTGTACACATCATGTACAAATATTTTTACATCATGTACATCATGTATGTCAAAAACATTTTTTGTCTCGTGAATCTCGTTCCTTAACAAAATAGAAGTATGTTTTATTTTGTCTATTCAAATTTTACATAGACAGAATAAAAGATATTTTGTCTGTGATGAACTGGATTCACAACAAAATATCTTCACCGACATAGTGTGTATAAGGTCATATAAGATGAATACAACAACAATGATGTATTTCTTTTCTCCTAGTTTTTTCATTACTTTCGTCTCTTTAATATGTAGTATTTCTTTTTTCAATTTTTCATTTACCATACCCATAATATATTACCCACAACTAATTAAGAATGGAGGGAGTATCAAACACTTAAATCTAAGAATAACATTTTCAAAATAAGGATGGGGTGTTTGGAATCGATGATATTCTAATTATACTTCTTTTTTTCAAAATAGAAGTATAATTAGAATAAGTTTTTTTTAGATTCAAGCACCTTTGAAATCTAATTCTTATGTCAAAATGCGTGTGAAATACCTTTGAAAGGTGTGTAACCCTTTTCCATCAATTGAGCATAATGCATGTAACCCAAGAAGCCACAAGCGCTGATAGTCCACAAAAACGCCACCGGAACGCCCAGCTCATCGCCGGCCGCCAGGGTGAAGCTCATAACCCCGTCGGAGACGATGCAAGATACCGGCGGCGTGGCGGAGTCACCGTTGAGCCTGGCCAGAAGCTCCTTGAAAGGACCCAAACAAGTCTTTGTAGTGGACTCACAAAGAGAAGGGATGTCTTGTGTGGCGTCGGCATCGGAGGGCGGGAGGCCGTCGGGGATCGTCTCGAACCGGAAGGACGGCAGCTCCGGGAGGGAGCCCGCCTGCCGGGATTTTTGTAGACGGCGGTGGTTGAAGGCGGTGTTGACAAAAGTGATGTGGAAGCCTTGGTGGTGTAGGAGTTTGGCTAGTTGAAGCATGGGGTTAATGTGGCCTTGTGCAGGGTAGGGCAGGCACACTGCATGTGGTCGAATTGAACCCATTTAATTTTGTGTTTTTTGCTTCTTTTGTCTTTTCCAACAAAAGTGGGAACCAATATTTAACAAATAAAATGCCCTTTCAAGCTATGAGAAATCAAATGGGTACTGCCTCCATATTTATAGGCTTATAGCTGCCTATGCAAGCCGACTTTCTGCTACTCGTCACGTCAATAAAGGCTAAAGAGTCAAATAGGTTCCTGTACATATATGAATTGTTCAATTCGCACCCTGAACTAATAGTGCGGTCCACCAACCAACTTAATTTGTTCAATCCATACATTTACCCCGGTTACCTCCCGTTTTCTCTCCCTTAAAAGCCGAGTCAGCAATTTTTCTTGCTGACTCATTAATTCATCCCACTCATTACCTCTCGTTTTCTCCGAATTTCGGAGGGTTTCTTAATAGTAGCTTTTCTGATGGATTCGGCGGAGGAGGCGGAGGCGATTCTTTGGACGGTGGTCCAGTCTCTAATTCTTGCCTTGTTCCTCAGTCCCTTGCTAAGGCCATGTTCAACACCCCGGGCCTCTCTCTTGGTCTTGTACATCTTTTGCCCCTCTCTCTTTATATCTCTCACTAATTAAAAATGGAGATGAAAAGGAACCGTAGATTGTGTTTTCCGAGTTTATACTGATCAAATTATGGTGTTTTTTTTTGGGTTTTGGAAGCAAACGGAAATGGAGGGTCAAGGAGAGGTGACGAGAATAGCAGAGAGCAACAATGGCAGCGGCGGTCATAATAGTCTTGGGAGGAGAGGCAGAGAAGAAGAGCACGAGAGCAGATCTGGTAGTGATAACTTGGAAGGTGCTTCCGGAGATGATCAAGATGCCGCCAACGACGAACCTCCGAGAGAAAAGATACCACCGACACGCCCCCCAGCAAATCCAAGAACTTGAAGCGTAAATCCCTCCCACCCCACCCCCACCCCACCAAAACAAGTCTTTTGTGGGATGAATTAATGAGTCAACATTTTATGAGATGAAAAACTTGCTGACTAGGCTTTTAAGGGGAGAAAACGGGAGGTAACCGGGTAAATGTAGGGATTGAACAAATTATGTTGGTTAGTGGACCGGACCGGAGTTTTTTTGGTTCGAGGTGCGAATTGAGCAATTCGTATACGTACAGGGGCCTATTTGACCCTTTAAGCCCATCAATAAATATATGGTGAAATTCATACCAATAATTCGTACTTTTGATGGTTCTACAATAATAATTTCTACTGAAAATTCAATACAAATAATCCAAACTCGTAAATATATCTACATAGATAGATTAAACCTTCATAGATAGATTATTATCCCTCAAGAAAATAATTATAGTAATGATATAAAAAAACAGTAAACTCAAATTTATGACAACGGTGAACAAAATCAATACTGTATCCTTATATATTAAATATCAAAAAGATTAATCTAATCTATCTATGTAGACGTGTTTATGAGTATGGATTATTTATATAGACATCTTCGATAGATATTATTATTGTAGAACCACTAAATGTAAGGATTATTTGATATGAATTTCGCCTAAATATATACAACAATTCGTATCCGCTTATACTCACTCTTATACCCATTTTTGTGAATCACGTTCACAGACAAAACATATCTTATTTTGTCTGTGCACAAATAAAATAAGACATATTTTGTCATTGAATGAAATTCACAGACAAAAGAAAGTTCCTCACAAACATAATGAGTAAAAAGTGAGAGTACAAATATCCTTTTTGAGAAATATATACATGTGTTTCATAACTTAACCATTATAAGGGTTGGTAAAAATATTCATCATTTGTTTCTTAACACTATAAATTTACATTTTTGAAAGAAAATACATATGATCATGAGGCTAAGGTAACCTTTTACACAAAATTCTGGGGTACTTATACTAACTATGCAAGTTTGGGGTGCTTACCTCATTTTCCTCAAAAGTTCAGGCTATTTAAATTATTTATAGCGAAAAAAGTTATGCTCCCTCCGTCCCGAATTGTAAGGCACTTTACGGTTTACGATGTTTGACTGACGATAAAACAGATGGATCCCTGTCCGCACTCAATTTTTTTTTAGAAAAAAAGAATTACATATTCAGAAACTGCATAAAAAACTTTATAAAGTCGCAAAACCAGAATCAAATTTGATAAAAAATTGATATACTTCGTATAAAGTAAGAGATTAAGAGTTATTTGTGTTGACCAAATGAATAGAAAAAATATTTTACAAAATGGGACCGAGGGAGTATGAAATAGTTAAAATGAACTTGTACAGTTGATTCAGCCAATTCCATTCAATTAAGTGTTCCTTACCTGTCTTTATTACTCCGTATTAAACAATCCAGCTTGAAATCAAAGTATTTTTGATGAAAACATTTGAATGATAAGACCCACAAACTTAAAACAGTGATCGTCACTGACTTTTATAAATTATACTCCGTACTACGTAGTAAATTTATATAAAGTGTACACTCTTATACACTTGTAAATCAACAATTCTTTGTGTACACAAAATTTGTATAAACTTGGCACACATTTATACGTAATTATCTTTGTACAACGACGATTGATGTACGAGTTGCTTGTGTACAAACAAATAGGGGTGTATACATTTTCTATTAACACTAACAATTACGTATAAATGTGTGTCAAATGTGTACAAACTTCATGTAGAAATGGATTTTTTGGATGGCAAATACATTTTGTGCAAGCTAACAATTTTGAGAAATGTTGTTTGTAACAATTTGTACACAATATTTTACACGCCAGTCAATTTTTTTCGTTTTCTAAAGAGAATAATTTTCGTAGGGAAAAAAAATGATCTTGTAGACAGTTTGACCTTTGACGGCATCTTGGATTTTGGATATTTGGGTATTGTTTGCAACTTTGCATCACCTGCCCCACTCAGAGCTGTCGCCGGGAATTAAGCCGAAAATCTCTCTTCTCCTTCCGTTTCAAAACTGAAAGCTTCACAAATTTCAAACCTGAAATTCATTCCTCATTTGTAAATCTCGCATCGGCATTTCGAATCTCTGTATTTTCTTCAGAGGCAGAGATCGGTAGTTACAGGCATGGCGGCGGCACCGACGGCTCGCGACGAGAACGTGTACATGGCCAAGCTGGCGGAGCAGGCAGAGAGGTACGATGAGATGGTAGAGTTTATGGAGAAGGTTTCATCTTCTCTTTCCGAGTCCGAGGAGCTTACCGTGGAGGAGCGCAACCTCCTCTCAGTCGCCTACAAGAACGTCATTGGCGCTCGACGGGCTTCGTGGAGAATCATCTCCTCCATCGAGCAGAAGGAATCGTCTAGGGGAAACGAGGAGCACGTCAACTCCATCCGCGACTACAGATCGAAAATCGAGACGGAGCTTTCTGGCATTTGCGACGGAATCCTCAAGCTTCTAGACTCCAGACTCATTTCCTCCGCCTCCGCCGGCGATTCAAAGGTCTTCTACCTCAAGATGAAGGGCGACTACCACCGCTATCTCGCTGAGTTCAAGACTGGTGCTGAGCGTAAAGACGCCGCTGAGAGCACCCTTTCGGCCTATAAATCCGCCCAGGTATGCCTCCGATCTTTCAATTCTTTGAACTACGGTTCATTTCATCAAATTTAATTCATCAATTATAATCTTAAGAACGTGTGTAGATCTGTACTCTGTGATTCTGCTAGAATGTTTATCACTGCAAATATGACTTTCTTTGCTTGGATGTGGATTGAAATATTGAATTAGTATGCGGACTTGACATTTGTGACATTGGATCCTTCTTCTCTGCTTATCATTTGAAGATACACTAGACTATTAGTTGGGTAAAATTTAATTTGGAATGAGTTACTTGAAGTATATTATGGGGGTGTTTGGAAGTGATTCTGCTTCTTCTTTTTTAGAGTAGAAGCAGAATCAGAATCAGTTTTCAGAAGCTGGTACCTAACACCTTCTAAAAACACTGATTCTGAGAGTAAATTAGAGCACCAGAAGTGCTTCTGGAATTTCACCCAAACACTCCAGCTTCTGCTTCTGCTCCCCGAAGCAGCAGAATCAGTTTTGAGAGTCAGATCCAAACATCCCTATAGCATGTACAAATTTTCTTCTAATGAAACGTGAAATTACGTTCTATCATATCAAGACACAGATCCTGGAATTATTATTGGCACTTTAGCTCCTACGTAGTATCATATACGGAGTATAAAAATCTTTTCTATTGAACTCAGGACATTGCAAGTGCTGAGCTTGCACCAACACACCCAATACGCCTTGGGCTGGCTCTGAACTTTTCTGTATTCTACTACGAGATTTTGAACTCCCCAGACCGTGCTTGTAGTCTTGCAAAACAGGTATGGCTTTTTTAACATGCTGTTCTTCACTGGTTTGACATTTTTTAGGCATTAATAAATGGTTATCCGTGCTAGACCTAGTTTGAACTTCTAAGCAATTTGTATTGGTATTTGCTTCCCCTTTATCTAGGCCTTTGATGAAGCAATTGCTGAGTTGGATACCCTTGGAGAGGAGTCGTACAAAGATAGCACCTTGATCATGCAACTTCTTCGTGACAATCTGACTCTGTGGACATCCGACATGCAGGTTAGAGTTCAGTTTTTTAGCTCGGGGACTGGGATCCCCTGCCATGCCCAAGGAAATAATGTGGGTGTATGCCAGTCTTGGATCACCCTATTTGTATTCGCATTAGAGCTCATTTGGTAGTGTTTTTTTAAATATTGATAAGCTGAGCCAACAGCTTACTGCCAAACGAGATCTTATGTGTAAATTGTTTTAGAGCATATGTAGTGCGTACTCAACTTGGATTTTGATGCAGGACGATGGCGGTGAGGAAATCAAGGAAGCTCCTGCAAAGAAAGAAGAAGAGCAACATTGAGTTTGGTTGCCCAGCTTTTACTAGCATTTTGAGTTCAGCTTTACTAGCATTTTGAATTCTTCTTGAGCGTTTTTATTACAAGGTTGTGTTTAGGCCTGCTCATAATATTAAAATTAAAATATGAACTATTCTAAAATCTTCTTTATCATCCCTTCCTTTGGCCGTTCTGTGACTTCTGCCAGAGATGATTTTTTTTAATTAGGCATCCTTTTAGTTTTGTTTGCGACTTTGCTCATTGTTAGATCTATAAAATCTCAAGGATACATCCACATTTTGGATTAGCGGACCAAGACTTGAGCTTTAGCAATGTTAGCGGACAAAGGAAATTACATAGTTTAGAAACCTATAGATGCACAACAACACTTATCATTGACTACTTGAGATTTGCTTATGAATATTTTCAAACGTTGAGCAACTCATAAGTCATAACACAAACATTATTTATAGGCTATGACCCAAAAGAGAGTTTTTCTTGTGTACAACCTCTTGTTAGAAAAAGATTGACACTGTCATTTATTGAAAACATAGAGTATTATACAGTTCATTCCATCATTATTTGGGAATGAACCGGCCCAGACCCGGTATATAAGGAGAGTAATATACTGTATTAAATCCGAAACCGTTTCACACTCGAATTTAACCGGGTATGACAGCTCTCACCTGAGCTTCTCCTACCAACGACTGGGAACGGAATCGGGACTGGACCGGAAGTATTTTACGTGAATGCAAAGTGGTAAAATAGTTTATATGCTTTTTATAATGCATTGCAATGCATTTGTATGCAATTTAAAAATAAATTACACATTTAGTCAATTTATGTAATCTATTTTACATGTAAAGTGATTGATTCCATAAACTTTGCATGCAAATGTGCAATCATTTCGCGTGTAGAGATTAAACGTGTAAACTATCAAATGAGTCCTTAGAGTTAAAAGGGATACCAACTACAAATGTATTAGCGGTAGTGATGGACCCGGGCCGGGCCAAGGCCCGGTCGGGCCTCGGGTCTGGTAAAGGTAGGCCCGGGACCGGCCCGGGCAATGGCCGGTTCCGGTTCGGGCCGGGCCACCCGCCGGGCCAGTATTTTTTTTTTAAATTAATTATATATTATACAAATTCCTATTAAAAACAAAGTTCAAGTGCATTTATTTGAAATAGGAACTACATTTGAGAATTGAGAAAATAATAACAATACGAAATACATTTTCTAATGAATATCAATTGGGATTTCCGCCACCGTTGGTTGTGGTTTTCCCTTTGTCACAGGACTTCATATGTTTTATTGGCATCCCGTATCCGTGTGAACGCCCCAAGCAGGGATGGACTTGGTTCGGGTCGGGCCCGGTTCGGGCCTTGAACCGGCCGGGCCTCGGTTCAAGGTTTGGGAGGCCCGGAACCGACCCGGGCAATGGCCGGTTCCGGTTCGGGCCGGGCCACCCGCCCGGTTTACGGGCCGGGCCCGGTTCGGGCCGGTCCTTTTTTTTTAAATTATATATTATATTATTATAATAATTGTTATTAAAAACAAAGTTTTAATTTATAAATTTTTTTAATTAAGTAAAACTATTTTTACTTAGAAAAGTGATTTGATTTATAATTTATAAATGTTACAAAATAGGTGTATAAGTTGTAACTTGTAAGTTTGTAACAAATTAATTAATTTACATATTAATATTACATATTTTAATTTAAAAACAGCATTTAGATTTTACAAAAATAATTTCAAGTTGTAAGTTATAAGTTTGTAAAATTGTAACCAATTAATTAATTTGAGAAGTTTCTACATATGAAGTACAAGTTTACAAATGAATTTTATTGAATTGAATTATTGAATTGATGTACACAATAATATAAAATAATTCAACTATATTTACTTCAAATAAGAAGTACAATTGAGAATTAGGATGCATTTAAAATATGTAATACATTTTGAAATAAAAAATCAATCGGAATCTCCGCCTTCGATGGTTGTTTCCTCCATAAAGTGGCGGGTGGGAGCGATGGTCATTTCTTGAGTTCTTCGTTTGGCCTTCAACCAATCATGGAAGCAAACTAGCGTCTCAAGAGAGCTCGGGCTCAACCTCGTTCTATAATCGGTTAGGACGTTGCCGGCCGCACTAAATTCTTGTTCCACGGCAACTGTTGATATCGGCATTGCTAGCACTTGCTTAGCCAGTTTTGATAAAACCAGGAACGTTCTTTCATTGTCCTTCCACCACTTAAGAACGTCAAAATCATCCCCAACTTCATAATCAACATTCAATGTTAGATACAAAGAAAGCTCGTTAACTGAGCTTTGTTCAGTAGCGGGAGTTGCTCTACTTTTTTCATAAGAGAACCAAATGCAGATTTTAAAAGTGATTTTCCTTTAGATGAAGAAGATGTTCGCGGCATGGGAGGGGGTGCATTACCATATTGTGCATGAAATTCATTATACAATTGATGAAATAAATTACTAACCTCGTTGTATTCTTGTTTAGGGTCGATGGGATTATCATCGAACTCTTGAGTTGGAAAAAAACAATTATAATAGTAATCTATACAAGTTGGCAACGCGGCAAGTCTATAACGAGGATCAAGAACAAATGAAATATGACAAATGTAAAAATATACTACTTTAACTATTTTTTTCTTTAAAAGAGAAATGTAGAGAAATGTAACAATTAACTAATTTAATAGATAAATAAGAAGTCTAACAATTAACTACTTAATAGATAAATGAGAAGTCTAACAATTAACTACTATTATAAGTGATAAATAATATAATGTTTATAGTATATAATATATAAGTATATTACTATAAGATGAGTAATACACTTATACTTAATACTTTTATATAAATATATATATATATATAAGTATATATTAACTAAATATAATATGTAAATATAAGTAAAAAACAATAGTATGTATACAAACTAAATATCAAATAAATATGAATGTGTATAAGTATATATAGTATATATAATGTGTAAATATATTATAAGTAATATATAATATAATGTTTATAGTATATAATATATAAGTATATTACTATAAGATGAGTAATACACTTATACTTAATACTTTAATATATATATATATATAAGTATATATTAACTAAATGTAATATGTAAATATAAGTAAATAACAATAGTATGGATAATAACTAAATATCAAGTAAATATGAATGTGTATAGTATATATACTTATATAGTATATATAATGTGTAAAGAATTATAATATGAATGTGTATAAGTATATATTTATAAATAGATGATTAATATATAAGTAGATATAATAATTATATAAATTATATATATGTAGAAAGAATTTGGAGAAGATGAAGAATGAAGATGATTGAATATGAGAGATTTAGAGTAGAGAATTAGAGAGTAGGAAGAGTTGTAAAAGAAGAGGTGTAAAAAATGTAGAGAAAATAGGAGTTTAGATAGATTTTTTTTTATACCCCATCCCCCACCCGACCCCCACCCGACCCCCCTAACCCCCCAGACCCCCCCTCCTATGCTCCCAACGGCTAGGAGCCTTTCTAAAATCAATTTTTTTTTTAAATATGGCCGTTGGAGGCCCGAACCGGGCCCGGCCCGGCCGGGCCGGTTCACTAAAATGGAGGCCCGGGCCCGGACCGCTATACCACCGGGCCGGGTGGCCCAAACCGGCTAAGAACCGGTTGACCGGGCCGGTCCGGTTCCGGGCCGGTTGGCCCGGCCCGAGTCCACCCCTAGCCCCAAGCAACACTCTTTCTTGCACCACCTGCAAGTTGCCCACCACAGTCCGGTCTTCGGGTCCTTCCACTTGTCAAAATTGTTTTTCATAAGGGAAGATGTATTTTCCATATTTAAAATGATATATATATAAGTAGGATTGTAGGAATGTAGGATAATAAGAGAAGATGAAGATGGAGAAGAGTTGGAGAAGAATTGGAGAAGAGGTGTAGAAAAATGTTAGAAAATAGATGTATTTATAGATGTTTTTGAACCCCACTCCCCACACCACCACCCCCGGGACCCCCTTCACCCCACCCATAGCCCCAACGGCTATATAGCCGTTTGGGAGGTTTCATTTCAATTTTTTTTTAAAGTTATACATATTGTAAAATGAATAAAATAATTTAATGAATTAAGTAAAACTAAAACTATTTGTACTTAGAAAAGTGGTTTGATTTATAATTTACAAATGTTACAAAATAGGTGTATAAGTATTTAAACAAATTACATATTGTAAATGTATTTTTAATTTAAAAACCGGCTTTATATTTTAGAAAAATAATTTTAAGTCGTTAGTTTGTAATCAATTAATTAATTTGAGAAGTGCTACATATGAAAAAGTGAACACATATTTATTTGAAATATGAAGTACAAGTTTACAAATTAATTTGAAGTACAACTACAAATTTACAATTTTGAAATATGAAGTACAAGTTTACAATTTTGAAATATGAAGTACAAGTATAAATAAATTTGACAAGTGCTACAAAATACATTTTATAATAAATTCTAAAATACTAATCAATCGGAATCTCCGGCATAGGTAGAGCCACCATCGGTTGTTGAGTCATCCATAAAATCTTGGGAGGGGGTGATGCTCATTTCTTGAGTTCTATGTGCGGCCTTCAACCAATCGTGGTAGCATATAAGCGTCTCAAGAGACTCCGCGCTCAATCTCGATCTAGATGCCGTTGCCGGCCGAACTAAATTCTTGTTCCACAGCAACTGTTGAAATCGGCATTGATAGTACTTGCTTAGCCATCCGTGCTAAAATCGGGAACGTTCTTTCTTTTGACTTCCACCAGTCTAGAACGTCAAAGTCATCATTTTCTTCAAAATCAACTTCATATGTTAAATACAAAGTAATCTCATTCAATGCACTTTGTTCAGTGACGTGAGTTGTTTTTGTTTTTTTCATAAGATTGCCAAATGCAGATTTAAAAATCGATTTTCCTTTAGATGAAGATGTTCATGACGGGGGAGGGGGAGCGTTGCTATATTGTGCATGAAACTCATTAAATAAGGCATAAAATAAAGTACAAACCTCGTTGTATTCCGTTTTCGGATCTATGGGGTTATCGTCATACATTGGAAATTCACCAAAAAACGCAAGATAATAGAAGTTGAAACAATCTTCCAAATTAGCAAGTCTATAATGAGGATCGAGAATAAATGCAATACCATAAATATGGGGAATATGCGCATAATATTTTAAAAACTTGTCCTTCATATAATCACAAAAATAATGAACGGAAACGGCACTCTCAAATTCTTTAAAAGCACCGGCGAGATTAACA